GGCAGGGGACACAATAGGGGAATGAGCATCTGGTTTGGGGGTTTTCTTTCTTTACTGGGGGGCTCTGGGGGAAGATTATGAATCACTGAAATAACAGACACAAAAGTGGCTTCCTTTATCATCTTTTCTTGTGCTGCTTGTGTGACCACAAGGATCACAGCAGCTAGGGGCACAGAGGGGCAGAAGAGATGCTTCTCACTGGTGTTAACCCCCCAACAGCCACGTGAACAGCAGGAGCAAACCATTCCTGTCTGAAACCAGAATCCATTCTGCTGCTTGAAGAACAGGAGCGATCAAGTGCTGAGCTGAAGGGGAAGACCTGAAGTTGCCTCTGCCCTTTTACCTCCCCTGTTCTTTACAGAATCTTCTTTTGTAGCACTGCATGTAGAGTATTGCTGAGGCTTTACCTCCTGTAAAGCACTTCACAGAGATCTTATTTAACGACTGCCATGTTCCTCCTTTCTTGCCTGTATTAATGGTGGGAGCTCCAGACCACACAGTGCGTTAGGCCATTAAATGCTGCTGATCACTCACCATGTTCATCTGCAGTGCCTTGAAATGCATTTCTCTGGTTCCAGTGCTCCGTGCTACCCAAGGATCATTTGTCCAGCTTGGCCCTGCCTGGGTGCCACCGCTCTGGAGCAGCTTTGCTTTCATTGCTTAGCATCCCTTAACCCCACTGCTAGCAGCCAAGAGGGGAGTCTCTTCGTGCTCTGAAGTTCCTCCTCCTCCAGCAGCAGTGGGTGCCAGGAGCCCTCCCTCTGTAGCTGTACCTCGGTGTCTGCCTCTGCCCCATCCCTCCAGACCAGGTTTAGTTCTTTATAACACGTAGGAATAAAGATGAGATTAATTTATGTAAGTTTTAGTGACAAAACACTGCTTTTCTGAAGCATCGTTTCTATGACATTGAGCTTGGAGCGTTCCGAGGGCTACATGGAGTTCTCCTTGCCTTATCCTTGGTTTTTCTGCTTGCTGCAAAGTGCTTTTGGTTTCTTTCCTGGATAATTTAAGGCTGTTTTGGATACCTGGATGTGCTGCATTCAGCACAGGGGCCCTGAAGTGGGCTGGGGAGGGTTCTTTGGCTGCATGAGACGCATGAGTGTGTGCCAGGAGCTCTGTTCCCATTGCTTCCTTCACTAGGGGAAGTTCAGGGGAGCTTCTCTCACCTCTTCCCTTGCTTTCCAGTTCATTTCCTTAGCAGCAGCCACTATTCCCCCTTGGCTGTACCTTTCCTTGAGGATCAAGCTCCACTTCCCTTGCTCCTTGTGCTCACCTGATGAAATAAAAGATGACGACAGGTTTTTTTTCCAGGCCGCTTCGATTGGGTTTTAAAGTCTTTATTGAAAATAAGTTGCAGTGGGTACACGGACACTGGAAATCCATCATCACAGCTTGTTCCCCCAAAAGATAGCTTTATATATATATATAATATATACAAAAGTTGTAAACATTTGTAACTTGGTTCCATACACTTGATACTACACCGCACATAGTGACAACTGCACCTCCTGGAAGCGGTCTGCTCACACAGGTATTGGCAACCCCAGCCTGACATTGGCAAACCCCATTTGCCATGGGTCTGATAGGGAAACTCTTGAGGAAGGAGAGGTGTAAATGCCTCTTGCAGCTAAGGACCAGCAGCTGAACGTGGGGTTCAGGTTGATTCAGGTTGAACCTGAGCCTCACTAAGGGTGGGAAGGGGGTGTTCTGTGACACACAGGTTCAGATGCTGTCTAGAGGAGCTCAAGGAGGGAGCAGGAGCAGCCCTGGCTGCTCTCCCAACACACTTTGGGAAAGCAAAGGCTGGAAGGAAGCTTACAAATACCTACAGGAGCTTTTCCTGAGGGACAGGCTGAGCCCACCACAGTTGGGATGCGATTTCCTAAGGACTGGACCATGACAGCGCTTGGCTTAGTGAGTGACCTTGTAGCCATGAAGGGGTGGCTGTAGAGGGAGGAGGCTGTGAATCCTCCTGTAAGGAGTTGCTGGTCAACAGAAATGGAAAGGAAATGCTGGAACCATCACTGGGGTGATGGGGAACTCATCCTGCAGCAGGTGCTGGAAGCCCAATGGCCTCTGGGCAGGACAGCAAGGAGGGTCTGCACAAGCTTTATGATACAGAGCCATCTAATGCAGGTACTAAATTCTCAGTCAAGCAAAGCTTCCAGCTGGGTAGGAATAGCTGCAAATGCTGGGGAAAATCCAGTACTTTTAAAGCTCTTTAATATGCTTCAAATAAATGCACAAAGCCTGTGCTGGGGTTAACTTTGGGAATTGCGTTGTCACACTCCCAGCATGAGGCCGTTTGAAGACCCATCTCCAGGGAATGTCCAGGCTGGTCTGAACTCTGCTCCTGACACCCAAGCTCAGCACCAGGCAGCTGAGAGCAGCACAGCCCTGCCCTGGCACGCTGGAGAGCTCCAGGAGAGCCAAGGGGCCATAGGGCAGCCCAGGCCTGGTATCCCTTTCAGGCCATGGTGTGGATGGTGACAAGGCAGGCAGTGCTGCTGTACCAATGCAAGCGTGCAGGGGGGTAAAGAAAGGGGAGAAGGAAGTGCAGAGATTGATGTCACACATACTTGCACCTCAGATAATGCACCACAGTTATCACAGCGACGGGCCCAGCTCTGACTAAGGTTGTGTCTGGTCACAGGCTGTACCTGTGCACACTGGTCTGCCTGACAGGTCACAACATGCTGATGGGTGACAGCAACACCCAGCATGGCAGGCGTGGGTGCTGTGGGAACTCATGGAGAGCCTGGCAGGAGGATTCCATGCAAGGGATGTGCTGTGGTACCCCAGGGATGATGGCTTGTCCTGTCCTGCCTCAATGGGCTGATGGAAAACACTCAGCTGTGGGCTGCCTGCCTGTACCTGCTGCCTGCAGAGCAGCCTGATCCTTCCCATATACCTTGCTGGGATGCTGTCCCCTCCATCAATGGGGACTGATGTTTTGGAGGGTAAAGCTTCCTCAAGGTGCCTGTTGCTGTGGTTGGACACGTTATTCCCAGCTCCCATTTAACCAAGGCGCAATCCTGCCTTCCTGCTGCGCTTGGATGCTCAAACCCCTTCCTCCTCCTCTTCTCCTGCCAGCAAAACACATCCAGGTCCTCACTGCCACGCTGCCTTTGGGGAGCTGTGATTGCTGCTGACCGCAGACACCTCCTCCTGCTGGACTCATCCCATGTCCCCGCTGCTGCTCCCCAGGTCAGCGATGGCACAAGGGCATCCACAGGACGGGGTGTGTGTCCCCTCTGGTCCCCACCGGCAGAGGATGGGAGCAGGGTGAGCGGGGAAAGAAAGGCAACGCAGGCCTCGGTGCGTACATTCAGAGCTTGTAATATTGAGCATGGGTACACCAGGGGGCAGGACGCATCCCGCCCTCAGACAGAGCTTTAGTGGGTTACGGTTACAAGGAAACTCTGGAACAGGTATATAGTTAGAAAACTACAAGGTACCGAACAGACATTACCTCACGTACAATCAATTTAAACACTTAAATTGATTCTATTGTTGCTAAAATATTAACACAAGTTACTGGTTGTGCTGCTAAAACGTCAGTGTTCCCTCTAAGGAAAATATTGCTACGGTTCTACCGTACCCTGGATTAAACCCCTTTGCCTCTCTTTAGCTCCCGGCAAATCTGACTCTAGAAACACCCAAAGGGTCTGGTTTAGATGGACCCTTATTTAGGGTTCTATTTAGGGTCCAATATGTTTAGGGTTATCGAATGTTGGGGTTTGGGTGTCCCTGGTCTGCTTCATGCAAGGATCTGGCACCAGTCAACTCTTCCTTGCTCCTTACATGCGCCAAGCAAGGGACACCTCTGCTAAAGCAGAGCAGCATCCCCTGCTCACACTCCTGCCTCTGCCCAATGCACCCCAATAGCTTTTGGGCCTCCAAAGGGGTGCAAAGCTCCATAGGGGAAGGCACCTCCTCCGCTGTCCCTGCGGGGAAAGCCCACGGTGGGGACCGCTGCAGGACGCAAGGTCCTGGTGCCACCACACCTGGGGAGGCTGCAGCAGCGTGAGAGGAGGATCCAGGTTGGGAAACGCTGCCTGGAAAACCCCAGTGTGGCTCCGGTGCCACCAGGGCAGAGCTCAGCACCAGCCTGGCTGGGAATGCACATCTAACCCGGCCTGAACAGTGCTCAAGGAATGCACTCGGTCACTGGGAATGACCCCTCATGATGGAGTCGCTGTTGTTACTGGATGCAGCAGAAAGGAGCTGTGCTGATGATGACCAGAAACCGGCTGCAGGCAGAGCTGGGGCCGGTGGTCACCAGGTCAGGAAGCAGCACAGGGCTCTAAGCATGGGGATGGGATTCAAGTCTCAGCTCCTCTGCTCAGTCCTTCGTGACAAGCACCCACCAGCGAGGCAGGGAGAGCAGGCAGGGAGCCGACAGGGCCCTAGTGGCAAGGTCCCACTGCTTTCAAACCCAGGGTCCCCTCACAATGGACTTCAACAGCCTCTAAAGCCTTTCCAGTTCTCCTGAATTCCTCATTTCCGGAGACAAGGGCACAAGGAACGTTCCCACCTGAGGTTCTGCTGCAGCTGATGACAAACAGTGCCTGCTCCCAGTCTGAAAACACAAGTTCAAGACTGCTCCTGATTGCACTGGTGCGGCCTTTGTGCTGGCAGCTCTGGGGCTGAGCACAGTTAAGTGCTCTGCCTTGCCAACCAGAAGCCATTAGTACAGCTACAGACTGTCCCAGCCCCTCGGGGAAGAAGTGGAACTGCAGCACACAGCTATTTGCTGCTGATAAAAGCCTGTTCCTAACAAGCAGCCACCTATTGCCGAGCTGGTTTCCAGCTTCCAACAGCCGCTTTTGACATCGTCAACCAGAGCCCTGTTGGAAGCGCAGAAGCAAATGGGATGTTCCCCATTGCTCCCCAACCTGCCACGTGCCACCAGCATCCTAAGCTAAGGGTGAACCACTTGGCGTGGAGATGATTTGTACAGCAGCTATATACAGATGAAAGGGACACAGACACCACTCATCTCTCTCTGTGGGTTTGGCCCTCGCCGTGGGACGTGTACAGGAGAGCTCTGCGGTGCGAGCAGCACGGAGCTGACTCCCCCTTTGCCACCACGAGGTTCTGGGTTAGCTCTGGAAGAACGAGATAAGGAACAGCTCCCCAGTCACTGTGTTGGACAGGAGGAGGTGTCCCAGGCACAGCCCGGTGCCAAGCCTCAGGCAGAGGTTTCCCCATCACTCGCCACGGGGAGGTGATGCGGTAGCAACCTTCCTTCCTTCCTTCTGACTTAGAGGGAACACTGCTTTTATAAAACCCTTGGACAGGTAAGACAAGAACCAATACCACTGTACAGAATCCACTGCACAACTAGCTAATAGTAAGGAACCCAGCACTGACTCGCCACATGAAGGAAATGGGACTGAATACATTTGCAATCGACCGGCTCAGGGTACGGCACCGCAGGACTCGCCCCTCAGTACGCTGGCACTTGGTAACCTTTGGGGTTGGTGTCTAAGGTCTCGGTGAAGGGGGGGCTCTGGTAGGTGTCTGTGCTCTCCACGCCGCTGCCGCTGGGGTAGCCGGGGTAGGGAGCGCCGGGCTCGGCGCCGAACTGATCCGTGGCAAAGAGCGACATGTCCGTCCCCAGGCGGTACCGCTGCAGCGCCTTCACCGCCAGCGCCACCTGCAGCGAGGGGCCAGCGTTAGGGGGCATGGAGCCCACGTCCACCAGGGTCCTGCCTCCCACAGGACCACACATTCCCCACCAGAACCCCACATTCCCTCCCAGGATCCTGCATTCCCCCAGACCCTGCATCCCCCAGGATCCTGCATGCTCCTGGACCCTGCATCCCCCAGGATCCTGCATCCTCCTGGACCCTGCATCCTCCAGGATCCTCCATCCTCCTGGACCCTGTATCCTCCAGGATACTGCATCCCCCCGGACCCTTTATCCTCCAGGATCCTGCATCCTCCTGGACCCTGCATCCTCCAGGATCCTCCATCCTCCTGGACCCTGTATCCTCCAGGATACTGCATCCTCCTGGACCCTTTATCCCCCAGGATCCTGCATCCTCCTGGACCCTGCATCCTCCAGGATCCTCCATCCTCCTGGACCCTTTATCCTCCAGGATCCTGCATCCTCCTGGACCCTGTATCCTCCAGGATACTACATCCCCCCGGACCCTTTATCCTCCAGGATCCTCCATCCTCCTGGACCTTGTATCCCCCAGGATCCTGCATCCCCCTGGACCCTGCATCCTCCAGGATCCTGCATCTCCTCCTAAGGATGCTGCATCCCACAGGACCACACATTCTGGGGAGACCTTACTGCAGCCTTTAGGTTCTTAAAAGGGGCCTATAAGAAAGATGGGGAAAGACTTTCCAGGAGGGCCTGCTGTGATGGGATGAGGGGTGATGGTTTTAAACTAAAAGAGGAAGATTCAGGCTGGATGAGAAGGAAAAGTTCTTTACTGAGGGTGGTAATTCTTCAGTGAGGGTGGTCAAACACTGGCCCTGGTTGCCCAGAGAGGTGGTGGATGCGCCATCCCTGGAGACACTTAAGCCTGGGTTTGGTCCTGGGCAACCTGAGCTAGGTGAAGATGTCCCTGCTCATTGCAAGGGGTTGGACTTGATGACCTTTAGAAGGTCCCTTCCAGCCCAAACTATTCCATGATTCTATGATCCCTGAGCTCCCTGCAAAGCTCCGAGCATCCCAGTTCACTGCTGGCCCTGCTCCATTGTAGCCAAGAGCTAAACCAAGCCCAAACCACAACCCTTAATGCTAAAGAAGCCATTTCTATGTGACATATTGACCTCCAAAGCCCTGTGTGGGGTTGCAGCCTGTGCTCCAGTCCCTGCCTGTGCCGATTTGGCACCAATAACCCCATCTGCTGCGGGGAGGGAAAGCAAAATAGGTCAGTTCTGCCGAGACTCCTTCACCCTCTCCAGGTTGCTGGAATTGAGGTCACAAAGGGTGGGAGAAGCTGTGAGCACCCCACGCTCATCCCAGTTCCGGAGCTTTCATTAACAATTCAATTAGTTTATACATGATGGGCTCAGGGGGTGGAAAAACCCATTCAGACACTGAGAGCAGCTCCCAGCCACTGCCCAGAGCCCACTGCTCTGCCGGGACTGGTGCTGGTTGCTGCTACCTATTGATCCCAATTGCTCCTGGCTTTATTCATGGTGCCAATGGAGGGGCTGCTGCTGGGTCCACACATCCCAGACATCCTCCGTGCTGGCAGCAGGGGACCAGCATCCCCAGTGGCCTCCCTGGGCTGGGAGCAGATGCTGATGGGATGGGGGAGAGCATCCTCCCCAGTCCCTGGGGGCTGCAATGCAGCGTGAGAGAAGAGCTGTGGGGGAGCTGGGATTAAAAGGGATTTAGTTGGATAATAACAGTGGGGAGCAGTTAAACTGGTGAGTAACTGGAGCCAGGCTGGCAGCTGGAGAGCCTCAGACTGGCTTTTGCCCCAATTCCTTTAAGGCAATGTGGGACTGGCACACATCTTGGGTGCTTTCTGCTGGAGGAGAGGGATGGAGGCTATCCCTGCTTCTCCACATGCAGCCCCACAGGCAGTGCAGCTACCCCCAGTATCACAGGACATGGGGCCCTGCAGCGTTTTGCACCCATGGCAGATGTCCCTGTGCCACAGGGGGTGCGCAGAGCCAAAAAGTGGGAGCAAAGGGGGTTTCTGCAAGTCCTGGCAGCAGGAACCAGCCTGGCTTCCCCTGGGGGGGGGAGCTGATGTGCCGAGAGCTCCCCACATCCCACTCCCACCCCATGAGGCCAGCTCGCTGCAGTGATCTGCTCCTGGGGACTCATTCAGTTCCAACCAGGGCCCCGAAACGAGGGCAGCTTGTGGCTGCTGACACGTTTTCAATGGGAACACAACTGATCCGCTGCAGGAGAAGGGGAAGCGTGGAACTCCCCAGTGAGAGGGGACGGAGCCCATCTTCCCGGGTACCAAACCACAGCTTCCGTCTCTATCTGCAGGACCACAGAGTTCCCCAGAAGAGCCCCACGCTGCCCACCAGGACTCACTTCTCCAAACCAAGCCCCAGATTCCCCCTCCAAGCCCTTGAGCCCAGAGCAGGTTTAGTTTGTGCCCTCCTCTGAAGCCGAACTCACCCAGACGATGATGGAGAAGAAGGAGAAGGTGATGGCTGCGCGGGCAGCGTCTGCTCCTTGCAAAACCCCTATGCTCATCGTCGTCCGTTGCCACTGGTTTGCAAGGAAGCAGAAGGCTACAAACCACAGGAAGGACAAGAAACCTGGAAGAGAACAGAGCTGCTCAGAGCCTCCCCTGCTGCCAGGACCCCGTGTGCTCATGCACAAACACCATGACACCAAACAGCAGCAGTGATTGATGCTGGGTGCCTCGGCCTGCGCTGGCCCAAAGGAGATGCTTTAGAAGAGGCTGGTTTGGAATTGCTGGAGAAACAGGGAGGGAAGGAACCTTGTATGGTCACCCAGTGCATTACCTGCTTTAGGTTCAGCTTGCCTGCATCTCACCCTGATCCCTGCAGGGACCAGCACAGCCTCTCTGGACATGGGGTCCTCTCAGCCTGCGGGATCTCAGCCTGCTCACTGGTGTCAAGGTGCTACCAGCTCAGTTCCAGTTCCAGCACCCCAGTGTGTCAACTCACCATTCCCTCCATTCCCTGTTCCTTAAAGACTTTGCACTGGATACTGCAAACCTCACCCAGGGGGAAGCCTGCACTCCTGGGAGCAGCACCAGCAGGAGATGGGTTTAGAGCCATTCTGTGATGGGCCACGCTTTGGTCCAAGGACACAGCCAGAGAGCTTCAAAAAAGGCAAGTCACACTCACCCAGGAATAGGGACGAGCTGGGATTAAGCCCTGCTCCCAACCCCTGCTCCCAAGGATCAAAGGGACATGGGATGTCCGTGCATCCCAACAGCACAGCTCCCTGTGTGTCACTCCCTGGGGCAGGGATGTGGTGGAGCTGCCCATGGAGCTGAGGGACACATAGGCTTCATGTGCCAGAGCTCTGCTCATCCCTGCTGCCCTCCACTGCCTGCTCCTGTCCTCAGTTCCCTGGGCTCTGTGGGACTGAACTAAACCTTCCTTACTGGAAGCCAATCTGAGCAAGACAGGGCTGCAGCCCCCCTAATTCAATCACAGGCTCCAGCACTGCCTGATGCCAAGGAGCTCAGGAAACAAGTCAAGAAGCAAGGCACTGGCACCCAAGTGTAAGGAGTTTTCCAGCGCTGGGAAGAGGAGCAGCACAACCTGGAGCTTTCAGTGATGCTGGTTCAAGGCTCTCCAGCTTTCCTGAGCATCCCTGGCACAGAGGCACAAAGACTGCGGGTGTTCAGGCACCGGGATGCTGAACAACCCAGCACCTTCCCAAGGATCATCAGCACATCGGGATGAACAGCCACACTGCCGGTCCCATGGGGCAGGCAGCTGCAAAGCACAGTCTGACTGCACGGAGAGGAAAGAAGCTTCCTTTATTCCCCTTGATCTTGCCAGTTGTTCCTAAGTGCAATATAAGATGCACGCGTGCACCCACATCCAGTGTGAGTTACAGGGCTCCCTGCACCCCCAGCACTGGTGCAGTGCTGCAGCCTGGCCCCGGGGCAGAGCACAAGCCCTGCACAGCACATCAGCAGCTCTGCAGGGCACAACTCATCCTCCCCAGCTCGCTGCTGAAGCTGCAGATGCGCACCCATGACAAGCACCAAAGAGAAACAAGGCAGAAATGGAGCACGGTGCTGGTTCCCACATGCCTGGGCTGTTTGGAGGGGGAAGGCAGGATCCTCGCACCATGACACACAGCATCAGCCACAGGATGGATGTGATGTTCCCCTTCCGTCTGCATCAAAGGGTTGCAGGCACTGAGCCCCATGGAAGGGGCTGTAAATATCCTCTAACAAGAGCTGGATGCCAGCGCTCCAGCACCGTGGAAATGAGCTTTCCAGCAAGGAGAGAACATCCTTAACAAGAGGCGAGCACAGGGAGGCGATGATGGATGTTTTCATTTGGGGCCAGAGAGCCATCAGCAGCGCTGGTGCTGGATAAATCACCTTCAGGCTTCGCTGACACCAGAGCCTGGAACTGGAGAACATCAGCTCAAGCTCAGGCAGGTGATTCCCCCAGCAGCAGAGCAGAGGAAGGCATCCTGCATGGATGAGCCCCTGGCCAAGGGGCTCAGGACAGTACAGAGGATCTGTGCCAGCCTTTGGGACCCCCTGCACCCCCCGGTTCTGGAGGCAGTGAGGGACTGCAGTGGTATGGAGTGTTTCTGCTTTGTTCCAAAACACACGCACAAAGCGAACACAGACCCAGATGTAACCAACATGTACCTGAGCCAGAAACAGGGATGTGGCAGGGGAAAGTGCCCTGTCTGGTCCCTGAGCCTCACTTCTGTGTGTGGCCTCACTGAGAGCAGCTCAGTGAACATCTCCAACTGCAGACATGACACGGACGAGTGGGACACCCCCTGTCCCCAAGCCACCACACTCCAGCTTCCCCACTGCTGCCTCGAAGCTCATGGCTGGATGGGCCAACCCATCCGCCACCCCTCTTCTCCCTGTCAGAGGCACATGAATGGTGCCATGCTATGGGAGGGGAGGACTCAGGTGTGGAGCTGCAGGGCACAGCAACAAGCCCACAGTGCCCATGGAGCCAGCATCATCCTTGAGGAGCCAGCAACGCCAGCGGTACCTGAAAAGCCGAGGTCGAGCAGGACGGCCCGTTTGCGGTCCTTCACGCTGCTGATCTGCTGGAAGTAGAGGTCCACCACAAAGAAGAAGATGCAGCCGAAGAAGGCGATGATGCCAACGGCGATGCCGTAGCTGCAGGCACTCTCATTCTCATTGAAGATGCAGTGCAGCACAGGGGTCTGGCTGTCCTTGTTCACGTAGCACTCGTTCACGATGGAGCCAAACACCACGATGGAGAAGATCTGCAGGAGGAAGGAGAAAACACAACTCGCTGCCGCTTACGTTGAACTCTGTTTCCCAACAGCAACGTAATTGGATTCAATCTTGTCTTTGACTCCATGGCAACGTGGCATTTGTTAGACAGATCCTGACTCTCATCTGGTTGGTGGCCCCGATGAATGAGCTGGTGGATGGTACCGAGGTCTTCCTTCCCTGCGAGCCTGGCTGCCTTTCAGTGGCTTCATTTGCAGGGTATTTTAAGAGATGTTGTTCCCAGAGAGGCTGGGGAGGGAAAAAAATAGCTGGGCCAAGGCTCTGCTCTCCACTGTCAGGCTGTGCTCCATAAACCCCCTTGTGTCACTGCAGAGCAGGGAGAAATGAAGCTACAGAGGATAACTGAGCTGCTATCCAGCCCTGGCCCAGGGATGCCTGGCAGAGAAGGGACAAGGGCACAGCAGCGTGGGGAGATGGGAGCAGCACACTCAGTGCAGTGGGGCAGGGCGATAATGGTTGGACTTGATGATCTTAGAGGTCTTTTCCAACCATGATTCTATGATTCCTCACCTGGCTCGGCAGGGGTTGAAGGATGCAGCGTCCGCAGCCATTATCCAGTGACCTGGTTTTGGCCCTGAGAGGGACAGGGGTGTTGCTGGTGGTCCCATTGCTGGGACCTGAGGGTGTTTCACATCCCTGCGGGCTGGCTGCCTAAATGAACACCAATCCTGATGCTGCACGCTGAAGTAATTCCCTTATCTCCCAGCACCGAGGGGATGCTGCGGGAGCAGCTGCATTACGATTTGCTCCGGAGCCTGCTCCGTTAAAGCTGTGCCACTGCTGGATTCCAGCGCTGGGAGCAGGGAGGGAGCCAGGCTGCAGACCCCCCCCCTCCCTTCCTGCAAGCTGGGAACCTCTGATCTCATCCCTCGCTGCCAGCACCGGCTCCCCGCATCCCTGCACGCTGCGGGACACAGCTGGAGGCCTCGTATGCAGGCAGGGAGACAAGAGGCTCCCCCAGGATGCTGCTGTGGCTAGCTGGGAGCATGGGGTTTGGGGTGTGATACAGCTCCTGCTCTGGACACCCTGCTGCATCTCCTGAAGGGAGACAGAGACAGGCGACAGACAGAGGCAGAAGAGCCACAGGAGAGACTGCAGCTGGTGGCCTTTGCAAAGTCACCTGCACCTCGTGGCTCATGCCTGGCCATGGGCCGCCTCCTGCAGCCCCACACTCCTCATAGCAGAAGGGACTACAAGCAAACCCTTCAGAAAGCTCTTTAATGTAATGTGGTGATAGATACTTACTCCCAAGCACACGCCAAATGCCTCCCTCCTGCCTGCCCTATGGAATTCCATTCGGATTTCTCTCCCCCAAACTCCTTTCAGCGCTGGGATGAAGCTGAAGCTTCTCCTGCCTGAAGTTACTTCCAAATGCAAGCATCCCCATTAGCAAACACATCTCAGCCCGTCTCCACTGACTCTCCTCCAAACTGGAGAACAAACAGATGGCTCTGCAAGGGAGACTTCCCTCCTAGAAATGTGGGATTCCAAATGTGCATCTGCAAAATCCAGGTGTAACCTTTGATTTCATCTGGACCACTAACAGCAATAGAAGGTGCGTATGTCCCATGGCTGCACAAGGACATAACCAGACCTTCCTCCTCTTGGGATTTAACCATGACCCAGGTCCTGTTCCCATCCATCCCCACCTCATCTCAGCTCCGAGCAGCAGCCATGAGCCTGATGGCAACCTGAGTCACGCGCTTCCCTTGCACCCTGCTCCTCGCTGGCGCTGCACTCAGGGGGCACTGGGCTGTCACACCGCGACGGGCACATCATCCTCATCACGCTCAGAACAAGAGGCTTGCATTGTAAGGAGGAACAACAACAAACAGTAATAATCATTTTCCCAGGGCTTTGGCAGCAGCTGTAATATCAGCAGTTGTAAAAATCTGTTCATAAATAATGCAAAATTGTTATTTACCATCAGAAATAGCAGCAGCATTTATAAAACAGGCCCTGGAAGAAATAATGTGATTCTGGAAAACATGAATAATTGAGGACCTCTGATTCCATGGGATTATTTCTCTGGCAGGCCACAGAACTTGTGCTCTGCTTCTGCGAGTGCACACTAAGTGTTTTACTTAGTCATAGGAGCACAGTTTGTGTTGGAAGGGACCTTAAAGCTCATCCAGGGACCCCTTCCACTGGAGCAGCTTGCTCCAAGCCCCTGTGTCCAACCTGGCCTTGAGCACTGCCAGGGATGGGGCAGCCACAGCTTCTCTGGGCACCCTGTGCCAGCGCCTCAACACCCTCACAAGGAAGAGCTTCTGCCTAAGAGCTCAGCTCAGTCTCCCCTCGGGCAGGTTCAAGCCATTCCCCTTGGCCTGTCCCTACAGGCTCTTGTCCCAAGCCCCTCTCCAAGTCCTCCCAGGATTAACTGGGCTACTTCTCTGTGCTTTCAGGTGCTTACCGGGAGCTCACAGTTTCAGTGGGTGAGGGAGGGCTCTGGTATTTTAAAGATTAAGGATTAGATTTGTAATTAAGGACATTACAGGGGTCCTGGCTGCCTGCACACAGGTTTGCACATATGGGGCTGTCGATGGAGGATGCCCATGGAGCGCTTCAGGATGGCTGCAAGCACAACCATTACCAGAAATGGGATAAAATAGGATGTGTCAGCACTTAACTTCCAGCTCCAGAGGGCTTTGCAAAGCAAAGCAAAGCATCCTCCTTGCTGCCACCCCCCCACCCCCCCATGACACCCCCTCAGCTGGGTGCAGGCAACAAGGGACACGCAGCTTCTTCTCAGGAGGCCAAAATAGCAGCGAATTGCAAGTGTGCATTTGATAGATGCAAATCTATCAATGTGATGCAAAACATCAGTGCTGGCTGAAATCTTCCTGTCAAAACACGCTTTTCAGTGCAAACAAGTCTTTGCATGGCTTTTCTCTCCTGATTGAAACGTTACAGCTTTTCTTCAATAAAAACCCCAACCAGTGCTGGGGAAACATTTTAATGAGAACAGATTTGGAGGTGTCCTTCTAAGTATAGAGGAACAAATCTGCTTTAAGAAAATGGGGGTAGGTGGGGGGGGGGGAAGTAAAACCCATACTGTAAGTTAAAGTTCATGCAAAACAAATACCCTTTTCCAACCACCTCTGCAAACCACACTCGCCCAAACCCACCACCACCAGCACATCAGAGGCTTGAAAGGGAAAACCCAAGGTCAGATTTGCCCCTGACAATGATTTCATGGGTGAGCAAGGATGCAGAGATCCTGCTCTCCAGAGGTGCTGTTCCATCTCCTCCTGCTTGTCCCCACAGCTGCAGTCCCCATGACCAGGCATGGCCCCAGTGCCAAGGTCCTGGCATGCACACCCCAAGGGCATCTTCTGTGTGAGCTGCTGCATCCATCCCAAGCCTGCCCACCCTTCCAATGGGGTGCTTCCACATCCCACAGGCCTTGAGAAGGAGCCCGAGCATTCACGGGATGCTCCAGTTTCCATCTGAACAACCCAACACAACCAGCAACAAACTGTCATCGTGATGGGTGCACTGCTGCAAACAGGGATAACCTGCAGGCACCCCGCTATGAAGCTGCATCTCCCCTGCCAAAGCTTCCACATCAACCCACTGGCAGCTCAGGGTCTCAGCCTGGTGTGTGGGATGGTCACATCCTGCCCTCCCCAGTGTCAAAGCCCCAGCAGCTCCAGTGGCACAGACCATTAGTGCTCCTCTTTGCATTTACCTGCAAGGAAGGATGGGAAGGAGGAGAGTTTTCTCCCTTCCTTTCCATTAAGAGTGGTACTTCACCCACACAAGAGCATCTCACCCTCTTTCCTTGCTTGCTGCCCACCTCCTATTTTCCCCCATCACCCTATTTTAGGCACGACCTCTTGCTTCCCTTGTCCTCTCTGACAAGGGCTGTGATCCAGTGCCAGGTGTCCTGTGCTGATGGATGTCCCATAGGGACTGTGCTGGAGGTGCTGGGCAGGCTGTCAGCAGCACAGAAGCAGCCCTGCAATGGGAGGCTGAGTGAAATCTCATCCTTTTCCCTCTAAAGAAGAGAAAGGGCAGGTTCCTTGCATGGCTGCAGCTTCTGGACCCACAGGTACCACCAGACCCTCACAGGAACCCAGGGTGCTGGCGATGCCCATGTGCCCCACGATGGAGACACCATTTTAGGTGTGCATAAAGCTGGGAGACCTGCATCTGCCTTCTCTGCACCAGATTCCTGCTGTCTGGAAGAAGGTGCTGGCCTGGCTGCCTGGATCACTGCTGTAATTACACTTTACAGAGCTGTGTTCCCTCCTGGGGCTCGAGCCGCCTGCACCACAGGACATGCACATTGTTCATCCCCATTGCTTTTAGCCTCCTGTAGCCCAGGCACCTAAAATGTGCCTCAGGAAACCTCGTGCTCTGAGCAGAGCCATCACAAGGAGAACAAAGAGCTGAAAGCCTCAGTGTGTGAACAGTCAGCCATTTTAAGGTGAGATGTTTCCTCTGCTGATGCTCTGCACTTGGATTTGGGACCTATAAAAAGCATTGCCAGAAGGTGTGGGGATGTAGGAGACTGCGAAGCCCTGCTTTGATTACACACCCGAGCAACCATTAACGTCAACAGCAAGGGAATGTAATGCATGGAGAAAATAATCCACAGCCAATTTCCTCTGCTGGAGCTTACACTCAATGGGGCTGGTAGCATCCTTCACCATTGTAATGAGAGCATCACGGAGACGGATACCCTGCTCAGCACCCTGCCCTGCTCCAGCCACCACCAGCAGAGGAGAAGGGAAGACAATGAAGGTCAAATCCTGCCTGGCACTAAGCGTTTCCTTATGGTTTATACCCCAGCTAAGCCCTTGTCTCAAGCCACATAGATACCTTGTGCAGATACTCCACTCAGGGATGAGTTAGACCCCTGGCAAAGGACCAACCTCCTTCAACACCCACTCAGCTCAGATCCTGATGGAACCAGGTCCTGGGTCCCTCTCCAGTTTCCCTTTACAGTTGTCAGTCATGGGGACGTTTCCAGCACAGATCTGCATAATTTATTGGAGGCTGTGAAGGCGAAAGAACTGCTTTGAGCACTGCAAAACTCCCACCAGGATTATGGATGCGACCAGAAAGCAAAGACCTGCCGTGGTTTCTGGCACAGAAAGAGGTGGACATGGTGCTGGCTGGAATAGGTTTATGGATATGTCTACCAGGCCCATCAGCTGTGAAGGGGTGTACATGGATGACCACATGGCTGAGCTTTACTGAATTACTTCTGATGTGATGAGAGCACCCATTCAAAGTTTGTAATCTAATGATGAGCACCAGGCTCCCACCTATTGATGTCTACTCCAGCAGGAGAGCATTCCAGGCTCCAACTCCAGCCCTGCACAAGAGCTGTGTGTTGTAGCCCTGCAAACCCAAATGCTTGCCCCCCAGCAGCTCAATCCAGCGCTCCTGCAGCATCACACTGCGTGTGAAGCTCCTCGGGAGTGCTCTGTCCTGAGGGTGCAGGGTACTGATAACGCTTTGGGTTGGAAGGGGCATTAAAGATCATCTGGTTCCAATCCTGGAGCCGTGTTCTTCTTTGTTGCCTGGCTCTTCTGCTGGGGATGAAAACAGATACACCTCTTGCCATGAGCACACACACTGCCTTCTCCATCCCGATGGAGAAACAAAACAAGCCTGGTCCAGGATGGAAAGAGCACACTCCCTTCTTCCAAGAACCACCACCTATTCCTAATACATCAAACCACCCCCAGCACATCCCTTACCAAAGGCACAGCTCAGCAAAGCACAGACAATGCTCTGCTGCAATACGGACTGGGACCGGTATCAGTGCAGAGCTGAGCACATAAAGACCAGGCTGGACTTGAGCCCAAGTAACCTCTGGTCATGAAGGTTTCCTGCTGCACATCAGAGGCTACAGGGACTGTCTCTCTGCTGCCAGGCCTCTGCCAAGTAGTTAGATCTGGCTGCTCGAGTCCAGGCCCCTAATAAAGGTTTTGCTCTTAAAAGCATCAGACTGCTGCAAGGAAAACCCAAACAAAACACTGGGCCCAGTGCGAGAAAACACTGCAGAGGAAAAGCTCAATGAACCAGGGGATGGAGCACAGATTTATTCAGCTTTAAGAAACAGGAGAGGAAGGCAGCAGATGGGTCAGGCTTTAAAGAAAATACTTAAGGGTTTGTATTGCAGGGTGGGCTATGAGAAACCCAGAGAGGGGCTTGGGACAAGGGCCTGTAGGAACAGGCCAAGGGGAATGGCTTGAACCTGCCCGAGGGGAGACTGAGCTGAGCTCTTAGGCAGAAGCTCTTCCCTGTGAGGGTGCTGAGGCGCTGGCACAGGGTGCCCAGAGAAGCTGTGGCTGCCCCATCCCTGGCAGTGCTCAAGGCCAGGTTGGACACAGGGGCTTGGAGCAAGCTGCTCCAGTGGAAGGGGTCCCTGCCTGTGGCAGGGGTTGGAGGAGCTTTAAGGTCGCTTCAACCCAAACCAGGCTGGGATTCTGTGATTACAAAATCAGGACCTGATCTCATGCTGAGCTCCATGGAGGAAGCGGATTGGTGAGCGTGGCTGCATGGATGGGACCGGGCACCGCGCTTGTGCTGCTGCTCCTACAGGAATTACTGCAAACATTTATTCTGCTGGAATATCTTCCAGACCTGCTTTAATAGTGAGACCTAACCCGATGTTAAATGAACAATGCCCTTGCCAAGCTGCGTGGCCACTTGAAAGCCCAACTGGCCCTGGTAGCCCCGGAGAAGGGAACTCATGATCCTGTGGGCATCCTTCCTGAATAGCCGGCTTGTTTGGTTGTACAGAACATGTCTCCAAAGGAAACCACAAGTGATCACGTCTTCATCTGACAAACAGCATCAGATGGAGGGGGAAGAGATGAATAAGGAACTGTTACATGGTTCTTTCCAGCTTTGGGTTTTACAGCTCAAGCCAGGAGGGCTGCTTTCCCTGCAGATACTCTGAATTACTCTGTCTGTCAGGGAGACGTTGCCGAGTGCGGTTGAATCAGGAATCCCCTCTTGCCATCACTTACATTTGGGGATTTCCAAACTTAAGTCACCATTCACCTGCCAGTCTTTTAGATGTTTGCCAGCGTAAAGACTGAGCCCAGGGCCCCAAAACACCTTCCAGAGACACAAAATGGAGCTGGACCCCCCTTTGGTGGTGGTGCATTGTGAAACCCCAGCAATGGCGATGGGCCTGATCGGCACAGAGTGGCTCACATCAGGTGAGTGAGGCTGGCCCCAAAGCCTGGCTCTCCACCACCCTTGTCCTGGTGTCCTCGCACCCAAACCAGGACATCTCCGCTCCCTCCTTTTCTTACATCTCATTGATGTCCATTGATGCACAGCCAGGGTTATGGTTCTGAGGTCTGATCCAACTGCACAGGTTAAACACGTTTAAAAAGATGAGCACAGGAAGAAAACCCACATGAATAAAACCCAGTCCGACGCCTAAACTCAGCCATCCTCAAAGCCTCCATCAAGGGCTTTCTGAACAACCATTTAGGACTGTGGCTCTTCTGCCACATGCAGGCATGGGGAGCCCATCTCCCCTGTGACAGCACGCAGGGACATGGGAAGGTTTCTGTTTGCTTTGTGAATGAGGGAGCATCCCAGGGGGACTTTGGTCCATGCTGCTGCCTCGGCCACCAGCACGGTGTGATAAGGAGCAGACACTGCCACTTGCCACATCCCCACCTCTCACCTCCAATCCCACCTCTCACCCGGCTGCCCACACTGGGAACTGGTTTGAGACAGAGGTAACTGGACTGCAGCAGCCAAGCAGAGGCCAAGCAGGGCTCTGAACCCCCAAGCTGCAGCAGTGATGGAGTCCTCGATAGATCAGCCAGCAAACAGGAGACCTGGGGAAAGCAGCTCTAAGGGCTTTTAATGTGAGTTCCACAGCCTGATCCCCCTCTGAAAACAGCAGAAACGCTCCCTTTGAGCTCAGTGACTTCGGAGCCAACCCCAAATACTGCAAACATCTCTGTCTGGGCCAGCACAGCGCTCATCCCACACTTGTCCACACCAGTGAGCCCTGCACTCGCTTGGGGTTAAGTTGATGTGTTTCTGTAGCTGTAAGCTCTCTGGTGAACACAGAACCATGAATCGAGTGACTCTGCCATTGAGTAAATCAGCCAGCAAATGTATGCATGGCTGGTTTCTAAGCTGGAATTTTTATCTCTATGTTCCATATTCTGTTCCTGCTTCCCAGCAGTGCAGATCCCCTTCTGTACGACAAGGATGATGGGCTCTTTATGGAAGGCCTAACTCACCATCAACAGGCCCACGATTTATCTCACTGTACCCCAAGCCAATACTGCTGCCAACAGTTTGTCACTGGAGGGGGATCGAGGAGGATCCATGTGCATCTAGACCAGGTTTATCAGGACTGAGACCATTCTTCTATGAAACAACTGCTGCCAGGTACACAAACACTACCCAAAACACCCCATCCAGCCCAACCTGGATGCTCCACATCCATACCTGACCTTCTGTTCTCCCGTAAAGGGGTTGGGGCCTGTCTCAAAGCTCTGGAGAGCACACTGGCCCCCATCCAGCTAAAGATTTCAGGATGTGGTTTAACGATAAGCATGTGATTGCAGCTGGAATTGCTCACGTGCTTAAAGATAAGCACATGCTCCCATGCCGTGCTGCACAGGGCCTCACCCGGGCACCCCCAAACGCACCCGTTGGGTCAGTGTGAAGGAGGGGGCCGGGTGGGCAGCACCATCTCCCACACCTTTCCTTCACTCCCTGCCTCCATGGGGCACTGCTGAGGGTGACACAGAGCCAGTGCGGTGGCTGAGGGCCTCCGTGCACAGCATGGATGTGACACGGGTGAGGATGAGCCCCGCAGGCGCAGCTTGGCTCACCCACAGCCTCCAGCCAAGCACTGGAGCCGGCTGTTGGCAGCAGCAGTTACACCCTTTGCACTGGGGTTTTTTGGGAAGGGCCCGGCATTGCCGACCTCTGGAATCATGCATGCCTGCAGACCCCAGCAGGTAAAAGCCAGGCTGGGGAAGAGAATCAGCGCTTGCCCTTCTTCTCGGGCACCACGGCCCCAGCGAGCATCAGTGTGCAGCTCCCTGTGCTGCTTATTCACAGACCATCAGCGAGCAAAGCCTTCCCTGCGCTGCCGCACAGCATCTTCCAACCTCCTGCTCCACGGGAGGAACTCAGATGGGAAACAGCCAAAAAAAGATGACATTCCTATGGAAGAACAGGGGCAGCTGGGCAGCGCTGGCTCCCAGATTGCTTCTGTCACACACACGCATATGCACAGAGCATGGAAGGAAAATGTCCTCTGCGTGCCGATTTAGACCTCATCCGCCTGCTCCTTCCTCAAGCACCAGGGGCACATCCACCCGCCGCACCTTGCCCAAGGAAACTCCGGGCAAACACCCCCCCGGCAGCCCCTTAGCCGGGCACCACCCGGCACGGCTGCACCAGCGCCGCACGGTACCTGCGCCCCGCACACGGCACGGACACCGCACACTGCGTGTTGCAGTGAGCACTGCACCCTGCACGGGCACCGCACATCCCATCACCCGGGCACTGCCCAACGCAAGGGGAACCGCACGCTGCTGTGCGCTCTGCCCATCTCCCGGGCATTGCCCAACGCCCGGTGCCGAGCCCCGCGGCCCCGTTTCCCGGCCGGGATGACCGCCCTGCCTCACCCAGGTCGTCACCCGGAGGATGGTCTGCGGCTGCTTCAGGAAATCCACGGGGTCGATGGCTCCCCCGGCCCGGCCCGCTCCGAAGGAGGCTCCTTCCATCTTCCCCCGCCGCCCGCTCCGCTCCGCTCCGAGCCGAGCGCGCCCCGCGCCGGCAGCGCGCCTGCCCGGCTCCCCCTGCCCCCCCCGCGCGTCTACCGCGTGGGCTCTTCCACAGCGCCGAGCGCGGGCAGCGGGAGGAACCACCCACCGGCCGGGGGGGGGAACGGCAGGTGCGCGCACCCGAGCTGCACAGCCCCGGGCATCACTGTGCTGCGGCCGTGGGTACCACAGCACAGCCCCGGGCATCACTGTGCTGCGGCCGTGGGTACCAAAACACAGCCCCGGGCATCGCTGTGCTGCAGCCGTGGGTACCACAGCACAGCCCTGGGCATCGCTGTGCTGCGGCCGTGGGTACCACAGCACAGCCCTGGGCATCACTATGCTGCGGCCGTGGGTACCACAACACAGCCCCGGGCATCGCTGTGCTGCGGCCCTGGGTACCACAGCACAGTCCCGGGCATCGCTGTGCTGCAGCCGTGGGTACCACAACACAGCCCCGGGCATCGCTGTGCTGCAGCCGTGGGTACCACAGCACAGCCCTGGGCATCACCGTGCTGTGGCCGTGGGTACCACAGCACAGCCCCAGGCATCACTGTGCTGCGGCCGTGGGTACCACAGCACAGCCCTGGGCATCACTATGCTGCGGCCGTGGGTACCACAGCACAGCCCCAGGCATCACTGTGCTGCGGCTGTGGGTACCATAGCACAGCTCTGGGCATGATTGTGCTGCAGCCGTGGGTACCACAGCACAGCCCTGGGCACCACACTACAGCCCTGGGTATCGCCGTGCTGTCGCCGTGGGTACCATATTGTGTCTGAGGACAGCACGATACAGCCAGGAGACCTCACCACAGGCAGAATCACAGTGTTATCCCAAGGATAACCATCCTATGCACATAGTCACCATGCTGCTTCTGGGGACAGCATGCTATGGCCAGGGGTTGGGGGATGTTGCCAACATCACTGTGTGATGGCAAGGACTTGGCTACAGCCACGGCAACCCATGGCTGGGCCGTTGACAGGAGGGAGATGCCATAGACTGGAGCACAGGGAGGTCACCACACTGCTTGGCTCACACCTGCTCTCATCACTGTGGACTGCAGAAAGGGCGGCTGTCACCTATTCTAGGGGCCAAGGGCCTTGGGAGCCCCACAGCAGGCCCTCAGTGGAGGCACAGCTTCCTGCCCCACAGCAGGAGTAGGGTGCTCCACCAGAAGCTTGCCCTTGGTTGAGAGCAGCCTGTTGCCCAGCAGAGGGAGAGGTTTGGTGGCTGCTTCACTTCAAAGCATACTGCTACATAATCATTAAGTGGTGCAAGAAAAAGGAAGTGAAGGCTGGTGGGGCTGAAGCTTTTGCTTTCGTCATGCAGGAAAGGAGGCACCCAGCGCTGTCCTGGGACAGGAGGAAGCTGAGCCCCATCCCCACTCCCTCTTCCAGTAGGAAGGAGGAAAAAGAGCTGAACCTTGCAGAGGGAAACCCTCAATTACAGCAAAGGGAGTTCCCCCCCGCAGCTCCAGGACCAGCTCCTGAGTGAGGTTTTCGTAGCACCCTGATGATGATCCCGGTTCCATAGATACCGATGCCATGACAACTCTGACATCATCTCTGCTCGGCCGGGAACTGCAGGGAAAGTCACAGGGAGGAGTACGCATGCACAACACAGGCCTTGGGGCTGGGGGCTTCTCATGGCTCCATTACAGCTCTGCTCCATCCATACATCCCCATCCCTTCGTGCGGGGACCAGTGCTGCTGCCACATCACATGGGACACGTGTGTAACAGGCGTGTTAAGCCCCTCGCATGCAAAACACCAACAAAGTGAAGGATTCCCATGCGCTGGGCCCTGTCTGCAGCTCCTTTTGGCCTTCAGCAGCTCTGTCAGTCTGTTCTTTCTGGCAGGTGGAATCAGGGTTTAACTGTTAAGGCTCTTGATGATGCCATTCAGTTTCTCTCAATTACAGGTGAGTCATCGTCTCTCCACATCTATTTCTGACGCTCAGCAGGAAAAGCAGAATTCAGCCTTTCATTCCTCAATGTCACCAGCCCAGGAGCAATCACATTGTACAATGCAAATGAGAAATGGCCACCAAGAGAATGCCAGCCTGGTCCCTCCTGGGTTCTTCTGGCAAGATGTCTCATGAGGCTGGCCAAGGATTGCATCCCAGAATCCGAGCATCGCCAGCCCATGCCTGAATTGCAGCTTAAGCACAAAGACTGTATTAACTCGAAGGGATTACCATAGGTGAGGTCTTTATACAGGTTCAGCAGTTTAGAAGCAGCTGTTCCAGTGTCCTCAAAAATCACTTTCCTGCTTTGAGAACACGTCATCCTGCACCCATCAGCCCAGAGCTGTATGTGATGGTGAGGCTGCCCTGTCTGCTGAGCTCACCGCACCCCAGAATGGGTTTCCTACACACTCATTACCACCCCACACATCCCAGCTGGGCTTGTGCCACATCAGCAGCTCACTTATGTAAAAGGCTGTGGATAGACCCTTGGAAAACTATTGGCATTAGGAAAGCTGTGTGGTAGGACATAGGAGAGTGGTGTGCACCCAGGGCCACCGCACAGAGACCTCTGGGGTCTGCTCTTGGTTTCCTGATGACATCCTGCCCCTCTCTGAAATGTCTTGTCCAGCTCCTTTGTCCTGACTGGAACAAGCCTATTTCAAACAGCACAAACCACAAAGGACCAAGACACCACCTCAACCTTTTAGATGCTCCCAAAGAACAAAGCACATCCATTTCCAGAGAGAAATCTGGTTTATACACTTCAAGGCATGACCCTGATGCACCAGACAAGATCCCCACTGAAATCCCCACTTCTAAACTCATCCTCTTTCGAGGTCCTGCTCTCCAACTTTGCTGCGTGCAGCATCACTTCCACAACCATTTCTCCTGTCGTGCGAGCTCTCCTCCCCTGCCACAGTGCAGATAAAGCACAGCAGCTATCTCAAGCCTCCACACAAACCGTAGCTCTGTTTCACTTCCTCTTGCTGCAAAGGAGCTAACAGATACACAGAGCCAGCCAATAATGGGAAAGGATATTACAACCTGCACGTTTTCCCCATCAAATGGTGAGGGGGGAAGAACAGCGTTTGGAAATGGCACTTTCCAGAATGCTTGCACAAGTTCTGCCTGCATTTGCCATTCCCCCTGGATTTCAGTGACAGGGAGCAAACAGAGCAGCACACAGACAAGTGCCTGAGATCTCTGCATGGTTTGATTTTACATCAGTTTCATTAAGGGTAAAGGAAAACAAGGCTTCGCCTCCTACTTCTTGTAGCCCTCCCCGACTTCCTCATGCTTGTCTCCAACACAATAAAGCAATGGGGTTTTTATCCAGGGATAAGCACATGGTCATGACAACCCTGAGGAGACAAGAGGGGCTTTCTCCTCCTTCAAAGCCTGATGGAGTCAGCCCCACGCACTCAGCTAAAGGCTGATTTCAACCAGCTCTATAAAAGCAGTGATTTTCAAAGCCATATGGCTGAATACAAGCAATTCACAGAAGCTGACCAGGTTACCTCTTGTAAGCGATGCTGGCACTGCTCAGGGAAGCACAATCTATCTGTTCAAATCCCCAAGCAGATGGCTGAGGCTTCACAGTTCCAGGGCTGCCAGGGTCAGGATCTGGCCCATAGGAAAGCCAGTAATGAACAAGATGAGTTAATATGATTCACACCTTGAATCCTGAGCTCACTTCTGGGCTCCTCACTACAGGAGAGACATTGAGGTGCTGGAGCAGGGCCAGAGAAGGGCAGTGGAGCTGGTGCAGGGCCTGGAGCACAAGTGTGATGGGGAACGGCTGAGGGAACTGGAGGGCTTAATCTGGGGAAAAGAAGGCTCAGGGGGGACCTGATGACTCCCTACAACTGCCTGATGGAGGATGGAGCCAGGAGGGGCTGGGCTCTGCTCCCAAGGAACAAGGGATGGGACAAGAGGAACCAGCCTCAAGCTGCACCAGGGCAGGTTTAGATGGAGCTGAGGAACAATTCCTGCCCCAGAGAGTGCTCAGGCATTGGAACAGGCTGCCCAGGGCAGGGCTGCAGTCACCATCCCTGCAAGTGTTCACACCCCGTGGAGATGAGGCCTCAGTGCCATGGGTTAGCGGTGGCCTTGGCCGTGCTGGGGAATGGTTGGACTTAAAGCTCAAAGGTCTTTTCCAACCCAGCTGATTCTATGATTTCTTTAGCAAGACTGACTTGGGGGCCCCACAGGATGGAGCATTTTCTCCATGGTAGCACTGGGATGCTCCTGATTTATCAGACAAAACCATCAGCCCCACCTTCTACTCAGCATCTCTGAAACCAAACAGTGATGCAAGACTGCTCTGCTCTCAGGACAGCTTTGACAGTGTACTGATATGAAGAAATCCAGCTAAGCAGAACACAGGCTCTGTGCAGCACACGGCCCAAGGGAGCCAGCCAGGCTCCAGCCAGGCTTTACAGCCCACCGACTTCAGCAGCTCCGCGAGGTCCAATACCGTCTTCTGCACAGGCGTAGGTGGTAAAACAGCTTGTCCTTCACATTCCCCAGGCAGCACGCTTGAAACAGGACTTTGATAGATGCTCACTTAGTTGTTACTCTGAAATGCTTTCCTGGAGCTTGGCTAAACATTGCTTTCAGCAATTAGCCTCTAGAACAACAAGAGAGTTGATGGAAACATTTAGAGGTGATTAGAAATGCACAGTGCCCAGCGGCAGAGAGAAGGGACTTCCTGATCAGCAACCTGAGCACGCTATCACTAGAAAGCTACTTAATGCCTTCCACCCTAAGAGATCCCAAAATATCTGGAAGATCATTTATTAGCTGGTTACTCATCCACTTCTGAAATGCAGCCATTTCTCAAGTGGGATTTGGCACAAGTATAAATGCATGATAAGAATGCAAGGAAAAGAATGAAGAAAACTTTCCTAACTGGAATCACTGGGGAAAGATTTGGGTGACAGAACTCACTTCACTGAGATAACAGTTGTTCTGAACCGAAGAGTCAGTATTCCAGTACTTGCATAAGGCCCAAACTGAACAAAACCCCAAAGGGTTTCAAAATGCTTCCCAG